TATAAAGTGACTAAAACTTTATCTGTCAGACTAACATACAAATCCTATGGCCCTTGCAGTCTGTAGTTCCATGAGAATGTCCTTCTGCATTGTATTATGTAAGCTGAGGTCCTGGGACTGTGGACTTTGTTTCAATCTATTAGGCACTGATCCACAAGTGACACCTGAATTAGAAGACCTACCACTTTCTTTCAGATTAAAAATAGATTTTTGTAGGTAGAACATAGTGCTGGGCTCCACTAGTACCACAAACAAAGAATGTTAGCTCTGTGGAAGGTTAAAAAATGACGTTTTTAAAAAACCTGAAATGAAAAATATACTGCATCTCTAATGGACATATGTCAGCTAGTTCTGCTGTCATTCCAGTCATGTGGAATCATTCCGGGGACATATTCCCAGAATTTCATAAGAAAGTTAAATTGGAACGAAGGGCACAGTTGGGGCAGAATTTGATCAGAAATGCTCACCCACCCCTCCGAAATATCTGCATGCAAATTGTACACACGATCTGGGCTGCAAAACCAGGAAATTTACCTGTGGAGAGGAGAAGAATGAGCCTTGTTCTGTGGCTGTCATTTAAGAATGAAGATTCAGGCTTCTCGCTATTTCCACACAGCCACGTTGCTGGTATTTGGATTCAGTCCAGTATAATGCCAGTATAAAAACAAGGGGTGTACAGTATAAGATATCCACAGTACAACAGTCTCCTTAAAGCTACAACTGCAAGTTTGGATGCAGTAAATACAATATGCGATTAGTTATTTGAGTAGTCATAAAAGTTCAATGCCCATATATCATTCAGCAGGTTAGGACTTTGAGCTTGTGATCAGAAGGATGCTGGGTTTAATCCTGGGGCCTGCACACTAATAGATGTTGCCATTGGCCCCTGGGCAAAGCCCCTAACCCCCAACTCCAGAGGTGCTGCATGCTGGCTGTCCCTGCACATTGCTCTCCACCTTTTCTCTCAAAGAAGAGCAAGATAGGACACATAGAAAAAGCATTCCAATGTGCATGTACTGATACATGTAGAAACAGCAAAAAAAAGCATCTTTGCACATCTTATCCTGTTCAGGTCCGTAGTGGTGTCTGGAGATTACTGCAGAAGAAAGCTGGGGTATATACCCTAGATAAGAAGAAATCCCAAACACCTCACAAAACTGAATGTAACAAATATGGTAAAAGTGGAATTTAAAAGGCGTTGTGTTGTGCAGTAGTGATCACGGTTGGAAAATGATATATCTAAAGACAAGGCTCTGACCGCAATAAAAATAACAGAGGATAAAGCTCTGACCACAATAGAAAAATAATGTTCCTGAAGCGAGTATGTGAACTTTGATTTTCTGGTAAGATCTGCACATATCTGCGTGACGCGGGTAAATGGCAGCGCTGCATGCTTCTACTTGTCGGGCATAGTAGACGACATGTCTGATACTCGTACAGGTTGTATTGCTTTATCTAGCTTTTTGCCTGGTTGATGTATGCCCCCTGGCAGCCCTATAATAGATAAGTGCCTCGACGAAGGATGGATGATTCATGCTTGATTTAGAAATGTACTCTACCACAAAGCCAACCGGTCAAAGAGATCTAGAGCCAGGTGTTCAGAACATAATGCATGAATGCCATGTAAGGGAGAGACGACAGGTTGACATGGTAGTTCAATAAACAAATTATGCCAAACTTTCTGATTGACAGGTGAATGGGCTGATTAAATAATACAATTCAAAGCTGATTGGAATAAATATTAAATAGATTATGGTCGTCGTCATCATCATCGTCATCATTATTTTTAGTATTATTATTATTCTGGAAAGAGAATACAGAACACAGAGTCTTTTCTTGAGTCATCTCAGGACACGCTCACCTGCAAACAAATTCCCAGGACACACCCACTGCTCTGCAAATTCCCAGGACACACCCACTTTGTAAGAGTGTCCCAGGAAACAGCCATTTCTCACGGCTCCTCCTGCAGCTTTCCCATGGGATTAGGCCTCAGCTTCTGCACTTATAGACCAAGACTTTTAACAGAAATACGTATGTAAACCCACAATACAATTTTCCACGGCATATGCTTGGAAATGCCTAAAACGAAAGATGTATATTAAAACATGAATTAAATACATACACACAATATGGTTAAACGTGATGAAACGTGATGAAAACAAATACATAAACAAATCCTCTAAAATGCTTAACATTTTCTGCGACTGTTTTACAGTAAACTTATCTTTACACTTTATGATTCTGCTTCATCTGAATTTTAAAAACATTTAACATTTAAAATAACAGATTTATGTCTCTTATTTATTTAACTAATAATAATAATTATTTTGGTTTTACAGATCCTATTAGAGGAGATGATTGACAGGTCAGTCTGCGTGCCACGGTCAGCTCTGAGATCCATGACCTGTCCGCCTGCTGTCCCACAGACCACGTGTATTTATGGTGTTTACACAGCAGAGGGGGAAAATGAGCTAGCTAGGTGTTATCATCAAATGTCTACCTGACCTTCTGTGCTCCTAGAAAATGAAAACAAAAGCTGACAATGTTTACAGAGAAAGCAGAAATATCCATGCGACGGAAGGTCAGGAAAGTGTGCAGATGCTCTGTGTTACATTTTTGATAGCCCATTTCCGTCATTTCTCCTTTATTACATTTCCGTTTGATTGTTATTGGTTACTTTAATTTCAAATACTCCTTTTACATCTATATCTCAGTTTGTTGCATGGTTTTGTAAGCTTTACCATGCCTCATATTTCAAATGGTAAGTGGTAATGGTTATTTTTCCAACCTAGTTTGGGGGCCCACATACCTGTCGACCCACCAAGAAAATGCCCAGTATGCCAGTCCAACCCTGGCCGATACCTAGCCAAAATCTCTGATCGCCAGCCAAGCTAGCCCAGAACGAGGCCTGGGCACTAAACTGAATTTATAATGACAAGGTTGTTGGTTCATGCAAATAAACAAACAAACAAAAAAACAAACAAAAAGATAGATAGATAGATAGATAGATAGATAGATTAAAAAAAAAACTATATACATGTTATATAAACAAACTGTAAACTATGTATGTTGGTTGTGAGTTATAAAAATCCGGTGTAAATTATGATAATAAAAATATGATACAAATGTAACTGAAACGCCCATTTCCTTTAACAACCTATTTGGTGGTTTTCTGGTAATGCAGAAAGTAAAAGTACAACATTCAGTTATGGAAAACACTACCCCTGTAGTTCGGTACATATTTGTCAAATTATTTTCGTGAATTAACGTGCTTTCCGGTTATTCAATAGACCTACATGACATACATGACAATAAGAAAAAAACAAAGCCTGTCGAAAGATACAAGTCTTGTCGCACAAGTGCCGATAAACACACCTTTTACCGTGCATTGGTCGAAAGGTAAATTTTTCAGTGACGCGCATGGGAACAAATCAGGCCAGGGACAGATGGGGCAGGTGTACTGCAGTTTGTGGTGGAAGATGGTGACACAACAATCACTTGTTGTGATTGCGGCTGCTAGCTCATTCCAATGCAGCGGAGTCAGTGACAAACATTGGCGTGTATGATCATGTTCAGCTTCCGATATCCTCCCATATTTGCATCCTTCACATTCAGTATTCTGCCACAGCTGAATAATACTATGGCACTACGGAATTCATCGTGGTTATCTTAATATTCCGTGAAAAAAAACGTTTCCAAGAAACCATTTATCATAATGACTAATACTGCATGTCAATGTTTCCAACATTGTTTTCCACTGGACGTTAAATCGATATTATTAGTAAATGAGAAACACTAGCTAATATGCATAATATATTTTAAATGTGTGACATGCACTTCCAGTGCTTAAACGTTTAATAAAGCTACAAATTTCCCTAAGTAACAAAATATCCTTGGGTAATTGTTTCGCGCGTGTCCTAGCAATCTCTTTTTAAATACCTTGACGAAATTTCCTCGTCTGGACAACAAACGTTGCCCAACTTTAACAGTACAGCAGCCTTGGGTGTTTTTTTTAACTATGTTATTTGATCTCCCTCATTCTCTGTGCTGAGAAGAAAAGCTCCACTGTTTCCCACGCTCCTAAAACACATGGTAATGAATTGAGTTCCGAAATCCCGCCCATCTACAGTGACATCACAATACTCCACCCCCCACACCCCACCCCCCACGACCTGTCAGGCTCCTCCCACCAACAGGTCAGGCGCCAAGACGTCTTAACTACATTGACCTACATGTAATAAACCAAGGGAGAAAAAATATCGTCGTTTGGGTATTTCTGTAGAATTCAGTTTAATATGTTATCACTTAGCTTCCTTGCACCAAACAAATTCATATTCAGACATAATTGGTCTTATTTTTCTTCCCCATATTTATATAAGATAGTTTTATTATAACAAATGTAGCCTGATTAAAATTTTAGTAGTAGTAGAATGTGGACTTTAAATAAAGTAGGCCTATTCAAGTGCGATTAATGGGCTGAGTTTCTATTATGTGCTGTTTGTTTCTAAAATCTTAATGTTAAAGTGTGACTTCCTCATATAAACGTGGAATATTACACCATCAAAAAGATCAAGATAATATGTACATTTATGTGATTAAAATACATCGTTTACTTCAGAATAGCCTATATAATTAAAACGTATTGTAGATACAGCACGACAGCTGAGAGAAATAACACGGAAAACAACTATTTGTGCGCTAAAAATGTTAAGGAAAAGTATCGTAACAAACATTTATCTATATTACTTATGTGAAACTCCCGCTTGTGACGTGCAACAAACTAGTACACCGTTTGTCGCAATTATTTTCAGTAAGCTCGGTCGTTTATGGCGCAATGGCAAATGGCTCCACAACATGTATGACTTCGCACGCCGTGCATCTGCGTCCACGCCAGCAGACGGCAATGCGGAGGTGCATCAGTCCGGTTCCCACGGTGCTGGTGCATTGCGTGTTTCACAGCCTGCGCCTAAATTCACTTGCACAGGAAATGGTGCACAGAACTTTCTCATTTGAAGTACTGCTGTCATTAAACAAATGGGAAGACCGCAATAAACACTAAAACGAGCATGTCAAATGTGGGTTTTTGAAGTAGTGAATTAAGAAAAATAAGTTTTCAACTAGATGTTTTCAACTAGATGACACGGGCATTTAACAAAAGAAGATAACCTGCAAGCACGGATGTTTTGAAAGCAAGAGTTTTATTTCCCAAGAGGTATCCTGGAGTACAAATGCTGTACATTTTCGCATCCCGAGGAAACGTTGCATTTCCTTCGTTATAAATTCAATAGTCTGAAGTACTCTATGCTTTAAAGGAAACCGAAATAAAATCAGAAAATCCGGGGACTGATAGCTCTAATCATGTAACATTTAAACCCAGTGAGCAGTTTTATCATTAAAATCAACCAAGAACGCAAACTGTACAAAGATATTTAAACCGAAGCTGACTAACTTTTGTTGGGTTTCGCTCAGCTAATTGACAGCCAGTTATTTTAAATGCCAGAGTCATTTCAAATAGCCTACATCCAGACAGTCATGATGGAAAACTTCTGTAAGATATGAACGAGTGAAGGTAAGGAACATACGATTTTTTCAGATCGTTCTAATATGTGTGTATTCGCATATTCATAAGCTATACAAACGGTATCGCATTTGTTTCATTTTTTCCTGATTGGACATACACGCATGCCTTTGTACAGTCCCAAGTTTATGGACCCTCCCAAAATATCCCCAACAGCCTATTAAGCGCTTTGGTCTCCGCCCCTGACCCAGAATTTTTTGGCGTTTCATTGTTATGCAAATACAGAATAAGTAAAATAGCTGCCTCAACGCGCTCAAGGGAAAGAACAGACTGTCTGCGCAAAGCAGTGCGCGCACGTAGCTAGGATTTCCACTGCACCTCACCACTACCGGTCCAAGCGATACAGGCGAGTATATAAATAATCTATAGCAGCGGCTACATAGTGAAAAAAACAATGATAAGGGGGTTTGACTTAAAAAAGATCTCACGCAAATGTCGTTCAGTGAGCTGACTTGAAATGACTTTGTTTCGCAGCCACCCTTACAGGACGGACTGCAGTGGCTCTTCAGGGGAATCAAGAAAAGAGGTGCCGATCAAGAGGTAAATGTTACAAGAAGAGCACATGCCATCGGTCAGTTAATCGAAGAGTTTTGGAGGACCTCTCTTTCGTACAGCTGATAGAGGAATACACTCTGTTTAACCTGTACAGTAAAACCGGCGCTGCTACTTCGTTTGAAGAGAGGGGAAGTGAAGACTGCAAAAGATAAGACTACAGTTAAATATTTATCTGTATTTCTGGATTTCTCGCCTTCAGAACTAAAATCTCGCCATCCATTTGCCTGTTTTTATTATTTAGGTTCTAGTTGGGATATATGTTTTAATTACAGTTTACCTGGTAGGTATTAACCCAAGCTGATCGCGTTTTGAATAATTTCTGGGCCGAGGCTAAAGCCCGCAATCTTGTATAGAGAAAGGGTCACCCATCCAATTCGTACTCCTTTAAAACCATGAGCCAGGCGGACGTATCGACTTGCTCCGCGCCGCAGAGAGTCTTCCAAGAGGCGGTGAAGAAGGGCAACACAAAAGAGCTGCACTCGCTCCTGCAGAACATGACAAACTGCGAATTCAACGTCAACTCTTTCGGCCCGGAGGGACAGACCGCGCTCCATCAGTCGGTTATTGACGGGAATCTTGAACTGGTCAAACTGTTGGTGAAGTTCGGGGCCGATATCCGTTTAGCCAACAGGGACGGCTGGAGTGCCTTACACATCGCCGCGTTTGGAGGACATCAAGACATAGTGTTGTACCTCATCACCAAGGCGAAATACTCATCGGGCGCACGGTGATCCTCCTGTGCTGTCAGGTAAACGCCGAGAACCGAACCTGCAGACCAGCCTTTCAGTTTACTCACTTGTGCCAAAGTTAAAAAAGCACATTTTTCCATTTTTTTTTCTTTGCAAAGGGGCTGGGAATGTTTGGTCAGAGCGATCTTGCCACAAGCCATTTTCCTGTATTAAATCTGAAACAACACTGTCGTTCCGTCGGTACTTTATAAAGCATTTTCCCTGTTGGGGGTGAATTATTCATACTTTGGAAGTGCTCGCTTAGACGCTGATGTGCAGAAACCCCAAAAGCCCACGTCCTCGCTGCCAAGCCACTTTTAAGACTGCGCCATCTGGCTTGATGTTCAGTTAAAAAAAAGTTATTCTCATTTACAGTCTGCTTTCTGTCAATTACACCGCTTTTTATTTCAATGACAAATGTTACATACTCAGCCAGTATCTCAATGGGAAGAGTTGAACAAGAGAATCAGGTCCACCTATTTCGTTGGATTACTCATTATTCTATACGCAGTCACAGTAATCGTCTGTTTTGTGTCATTTCTTTTCGTCCCGTAGAAAACTAAGAACACTACCTAAATTAAACTCATTTGTTTTCAAGTAGTTAGGCGGTACCGAAGGATCCGCATAACTACCCAGTTTGTAGCTAATAGGGGAATAGATCATTTTAAATGTTTCCCCATGCTTTTTAAACAATAGGCCTACGTGTATTATACACGGTGTATACGTGCAGTCGGTGTCTTTCTAAGTTTCCATGGATGGTTTCCAATGGGTTCTCTGATGCTTAAAGCCGCTTGTTATCCCGTAAATGTTGTCCCGTGAGGAGACGCCATTAAGCATTCGGAGCATGCATCTGTGTTTGGATCCCTTTGCCAGCTACCTCGACTGTGCAGTATCCAGTTGTCCAACTGCATATCCTTCACAGTCTTTACAACACATCAGCTTTGATGACACTTCAGGATAAGCTTGGGTTGCACGACATTTCAATGTATTATTACTCACCTTGAGCAAGAGTGTATTTCGTCATACCAGTTGATATATGGACATCACTATCAGTTTCACCAAGAGCGTTTTATTTAGCTTCTATTCGATGTTTTTCTTTTCCACAGTAGAAAACCAAACTCTTGTGTGTGTGGATAAGAAATTGTTTCCATTTTTTTTCTGTACGAAGGCATGCTGATGGAATGAAAATGTTGGTTTTCTGAAACCCAGGGCAATTCCAGGTCACCGTAACATCTAATGCTGATTCCAGAGAGAAACATTGTCTATATTTTATGCCTTAAGAAGGGAGGAGTGCTTGCACAAGAATATTAAAATGGCCCCAGTGGCTGTTAAACTACAGGAGCGAAAGTAAAGGAACAGTTACTACTGAGCAGGACTTCTTATTGTAACTATTACATTATTATTGTTATTTCGCGGGATTACAGGATAATTTACATTACTCATGCAAATCTGCTGCGTTTTTTAAATCACGAAATGCCTAATGATGTGTATTTCTATGCTGCTCGTTCAGAACTTTTTTTTTTTTTTTTTGCGTTTGTTGTCATGTTTTTATGTTTGGATTGAAAAGCTAACAGACCCCAGACGTGAACAAGGGGTCAGGTGGTCGTTGGACGAAAAGATCTATCGGGAGGCCGAGGGCCGTAGCGTAGTTCTGATCTGATTGGCTAGCCGGCAATAGGGAGGCCACGCCAACGCCGATGGCCAGCGCAGACCCAAGCAAAAACACAAGTGATGGAATATTGTCGGAAAGTAGATTGGAGATAAATAATAAAAATTTATATATATATGCATTGCTTGTGGTAAACTTGATCATTTTATTTTTTTAATATTGCACTGTTGACTGTGATGTTAGTTGTTGGTGTCACACCAACATTTTATTTTTTTTCTGAATAGAAAAAAGGAACACAAATACTATTGTATAAAAATTCCAGGATCAATTGTTTTTGTTAATGTGCTACTTCGTAAAACGTAATGTTTGCGAAGACGTTCGTGTATCTTTAATCAGCTGTTATACATTATATATGACGTCATATAAATATAATGGTTGAACAATTAATGAGCACTTTTTGTGAAGTGCTGTCCCCCGTTGTTATTAAAGGGAGACTATATATCTGATGGTAAGATCATTGTAACGAAGAGTTGCATGATGCACAACTGTTTTACTTGACTGTGTCATAACATTTATGACATAAGAGTAAAATGAGTAGGTTTAATTAATTGAGAAGTGCTGAAGTGTCTTTTTTTCCTGAAACAAAAGATTGCAAATGAGACATGCAGTGATGGTCTTGTGTGCTATGGATGTTCTGATATGTCTGCTCGTTTGTTTGTTGTTTTATTTGTATTGTTAAAAATGTAACACTGTGATGATATGTGGAGCGATACCATGTGCTGTAATTTTGTACGTTTGTATACAAGTCAGTAAAAAGAAAAAAAAAATCAAACTTGTACCGAGTGTATTCTTCTCCTCCTCCCCACCTCTTCTTCTTGAGTTGCTAGGAAACAATGATTATGGGCTGGGTATGGACCTGCAGTGGAAAGCCTTGCAGATCAGAATTCTGTTCCCTCTCCTTGGTATGAGCCTTTCTCAGAGCCACAAATCCTGTCTTAGTTCCCTTTTATCATGTACAATTTTGACACTTGACCAATAAAAGAAACATTTTTAATTACTCTTTTATATTTTCCCCAAGTTACAATACCTTGTAGCCTGCAAAAAATACCTCTTATTATCTCTTATGTGTATTTAAATATGTATGATATTCACAACCCATATGTGGTGAATTTCCAAAACCTGCATACACACGGAAAGGTATTAATAGACTATGACTGCTTTCATCTCACATGCTGTCTTTATTTTCTTTGATGGATATCTGTTGTCACAACAAACCCCCAAGTTGACATAGATGGGGCTGGATCAAGTCTGTGTTTCTGTTTTATTGCAAATGTTATGCTTTACATGCATCATTCTCACTCTTTGCCCACTATTTCTTACTGTTTACTTTAGTAACGATGCCACAGACCTGTAGTAACAAATGGAAAGTGGTTCATATTCTCAACATGCAATCTCAGTCAAGTCTGCTGAATAGAGGCATACTGAATGTACTCATAATAAATATGGGCCTCTACAGCCCTTGAGAAGGTTCACTATGTGTCAATGGTCACTCAACACATTTAACCAGCCTATTAAAGTGAAAAAGATGTGAAGTCACTATAGACTAAAGGTTATCCATTCCTTCATGGATCACTCATGGTACAGTGATGGAATAGATTGAATTCAAAGAATGACTGAGGGTGTACAAAGGGATTGTTAAGAAATGCCATCTGACATATGTCATATAGGCATGAATTTGCATTTCCCAGTATACATAAAATAGTAATGTGGAACATAGCCAAGAAATCTCCAAAACCGTAGAATAATTAAAATAAGCTTCATTCCCATGTTGATACACCAACCAATAGTTTATGTAACTTAAGAAATCAGTTGTAGGTCATGTTTAGTCACACTAGACTTCTCAAGTGAACTTTGACCTCATTTTCCTTACTTGATAATGAGACGACCTTACACATATGATTAGTAAAATCCACAACTGCACGCAAATTTCTGCTTCTTTACAGGGACAGTCTCTGTCTGTCATTTCCAGGAGGATGATCTCCTTTGCGGTAACAGTGTGCACGACCCCGTACAAAGGGAATAGAAGTCCCTATCAAAGGGGATTTTACCTTAAACTATGTCTCCTTTTTATTCACTCTTCTTGGTGTTACATGCAGTTCCTTGTTAAGGCAGTTTACATCATTGTATCAGATACTGGCCAACTGAATCATGCAACGATCACAGCATTACTACAGAGTAACACATCCAGTTCTTACATGAACTCCACCGTCCTCGTCCACTGTCCTGTCCTGTTTCTTTTTATTATTTGTTATTGAAATGTGGCCACCTTCATCGACTTCATCACCGTTAGGACTGAACAAGGCCTATGGCAATTGTCATCTGGTCCGTTTTACAGCCTTATTCTCCCGAATAGTACATTACGAATAAGCATAACTGAAGTGTTAGTTCAGATAGTTGTTACAAAACGAACTGATATAGATCTTTTCCCAGTATTTGTTGACTGATAGAATGTAACAAGAATTAGAATGGCTCAAAAGCAAGAGCAATACTGTATCACATTATAGTGAATACAGAGAAAGTCATCTAGGTTATTCAATTGTCAGTATATTTGAAAGGTCATGGACTCATGGGCTGATATGTGAGCACAGAGCTCCTGGGTCAGAGAATGGTTTTGACGGTTTTTGGGTTTTGTTTGCACTGAAACCTACCTACTCTGTTAGCTGGCAGGATAGTTGGGGGCCAGTTATGTGAATTTACCCCTGCAAACGGCTTCAGGATGTTGCATAATAGCATCTTTACTTATTCATGTAAAGTATAAGGCGCAAGCTCCCTATTGTGTAATACTGCAGACCAGATGGATAATATGGCAGCAACTGTCAACAGTGAAACAGCCATGTGCCTCATATTTCAGTTATTTATTGTACAAGATATATTTCGCATGACCTGCAAGCAAGGACACTCCTTAAGTAAAATGCATTACAGCAATCCAGGAAGTTCTTGGTTTACACCGCAGATTAAAATAACAAAATAGCAGAGGACTCTGTAGGCGAGAGATGTAAAACTTCATTTCTCCAGGTCCGCTTAGGTGAAACTTCTTAGAGTAGTTTAGGAAGCTCTTGATTCACGACATGGATTTAGATGGGGACACGGGGACAGACATCCTAATTAAGCAGTGACTGTTCGGGCTGTCATATCTTTGATTAGAATGGTAAGTCAGTCGTCGTCAACCTGCACATGCTCATTGCACTACATGCTGAGATTGAACAGGACTTGGCGCTCAGTGTAGAGGATAGTGGGTCATTAAAGGAAAGAAGGACAAAGACAGCCTTTGTTTTCCCATTTTTCTTTTCAGTTCTTGTCTGTTTATTTTTTGCTGTAATTCTTCTATTGACATGTTTTGTAAACGTCTAATTTTTATAAAGGATTTATGTCAATTCTGAACACAAAAATAATGGTCTGCACACAAAATGATTAATGTCACTAGTGTACTGTAGGAAACAAATGAGTAAACACTGAGGAAATAATCATAACAAATTAATTTTAAGTCTTGTGTCTTGGGCTATCAGCAGACACCACAAGGGGAGCTTAAAGCTCATATTAACTGGTTTTGAAACTGAAAATGAAAACCGAACTACAGCTTACGAGCTCAAAGCTCTGTGTAGAGACTGACAGGCGGCCTTGTGAATATGGAAAAATGGACGGAAAGGTATCATGGCAATTAAGGCAATTAAGGCACTGGTGTCATTTAGGCAATTTACAGTATGCATTTGTATATTTTTTATGTTAGTTGAAATGCAAATGATCCACAGCATCTGTCAAGGTCAGTATGTTGAGACATAATTAATGCATATTGATTATGATGCATTGACCTTGTGCCCACATGGCTGTGGGGGTAATGAGCGTTGACATTTATTAAATATGGCAGTGGCTTTTGAACTCCAGACAGTGTCTGGTGCCGGTTCACGCTGTAGGCAGGATGAGTAAAACGCGAGCTGTGAAACTCAGCTGTCTAAGGGCTGGATTCTGAGAATTCAGGCACGTAGGTGTTAGCGCCATTCGGCCGAGGCAAAGATTAAGGTGGACCGCGATTGGAGGCGGAGTGGAGTCGACGTCGGGCCCGTTTGCCCTCAAAGGTGGCAGGTTCCCAGCGTCTCTGGGAATCTCTGACCGCGACACACAGATCCGTAAGGCCTGCACGGGGAGACAGAGAGAGTGACAGAGGGAGAGACACAGAGAGGGGGAAAGAGAGACAGGTGGCCGGGCCGGTCTTTTCTTGCCCTCTGCTCCTGCTTTCTTTCATTCTTTCACTCCATTCTACATTCTGCAGCTCAATCACTGGCTCATTCTTCTATCCCGTCCTCCTTTGTCCATGCTGCTCAGCTCGCTGTAGGCCTGTTCATACCCCAGACGGCCTGCCATTGACTGGAGCCCCAGCAGCGCTCCCCCCTCTCCCCCCCCCCCTCTCACGCACTCGGCAGCTGGTATGCTAATGAGCACAGAAGCAGGCGAGTGAGAGGAACAGAGAGAGGAAGGGGTAGCTCGAGTCGGGGGGTCCAACTTTCACAACTCAATGGTCTATCGGGGGCCCAGAGCAATGGACCTGTTGCACAAAAGGAGAAGCAACCCCCCCCCCCACATCCCACCTCCCCTCTTGCTTGACCTCTTCTTTCTCATTCAAATCTATTTTACACCCAGAATTTAAAAAAGGATGGGAGGGGGGTAGTTGCAGACTTCACAGAGGTGTGTAAAGTAACCCCGGTCCTGGGCTCAAGGCCTGGGAAGAGGCACCATGTGGCCCAGCCTGGGGGGGGGGGGGCATTTGTGGGAATGTGGGCTCTTCCTGCTCATGCCTTTACAGTCTGGGAACTGACACCTGCCAGGGAGTGCCCCCCTCCCCCCCGCCTAAATACCCAGACAAACGCATCTACCAATACATAGAAAGATATATGTGTGCACATGCTAATTTACATCTGAACGAGGGCACGGCCACACATAGGTGCACACACAAAAAAGCTAAACGCTAGTCCATGCGCACGCATACATTCAGGAGATGAAGATGCAAGGCAGGCTCTGGCAGCCAGCGATCCTGGGTAGTTTCTTCCTGTCTGCACTTATTTTACAGTCATGTGACATGCAGGAGGCAGACTCATCATAAGAATGGCCGAAGGAGGAAGAGGGAGAGAAGGATGAGTGAGGTTAAGGGGATAGGAAAAAGTGCAGTTGGGAATTGGGGGGTGGGGGCGAAGAGGTGGGGGCGTGAGAGTGAGGTGGGGGTCAGGGGCCGCAGCCTGACAGTCGAAGGGGCCCCGTCTACCCAAGTCAGCCCAGGCTGTGTGACCCTCCGACGCACAGGGACTGCAAGCCTGGTGGGACATCTGCTTGCCGACAGCGAGGGTGCGGGACGGCCCATATGGAGGGCCTGCACCCCCACCCACGCCCCCCCACCCAGCTACCTCCATTCCTGCCACATTGCTGCACATTGTGTCCTGCTGCCAATGCCTTTGTGTATGCAGCTCCCTCAGCGCACGGCTCCAGCACTGACCCCTGCAGGTGGGAGGCGGAAGGTCACGGCGCAACAGGTGATGGAGCCACGAGCCCGCAGGCGTGGCTGCCGCAGTCTGCAGGTGGGCAGTGCCACGAAAGGGCATGAGGGGGGCAGAATGGAGGAGAGAGACCGAAAGTTCCAGGGCAACCGGCTCAAACTCCAAACTCTTCAAACTGGTTTTTGCTTCTGGGTGTTTACATCATGGGGACTGTAGATCTCTGGAGTGAGGTGTAAACTGTGAGGTGTAAATTAGCATTTCAAGTCCCTCATGATGGTATGACTTTCTA